TTTTTTTTCATTTGTTTTGTTGTAGGCACATTCCTGAGGTTGTCGAGTTGTGGAGTTTTGCAGTCGCCCATACAATTAAGAAATCCATGGGCCTATATCGAGAAATATCTATAGATCTATAGATTGTATGGGCGACACCTGGAGGCTGGAACTAACTTGAGTTCGGGAGCCCTATGATAGATGACAATTTCGTATGGCTGCCCGCTAAATGCCCCTGCCCTGTTAGATGTATCTGCAGATTAAGAGAAAGGGGTGGGGACGGGAGGGGAGGGGGTGGCCAATCGAGGGCTAGAGACCACCACCTTTCACTTCCACAAATTTCATACCTGAAAACACTACGAGTAACTCGGGACATTCCTGAAATGTAAGCAGCACTGTGGGGTTGTGCCATCTCCCATCTACTCAAGGCTGTACTTCAGAAAAGTTCGGATGCAACTGTGCACAGTATCTGCTTGTACCCAAGAGTGCTGGATCAGCGGGAGTACATTGCCTGCCATAGCCAGTCGCTGGTTCTATTTTCCGCAAGAGAACAACTTTACAGCTATGGCTGCTGCTACTCTGGGAGGTCGCCAAGTCTCTAAGGATGGTGCATTGTCTCCCATCCGCTCCTCGATCTCGACCTCGACCTCGACCTCGTCTCGTCTCATCTCTGCCTCTGCCTGCCTGACTCCCATACGATTCAGTCTAGCAAATTCCCCTCCAAGGAGGAACAGCCTAATGACCTGTCTCTCCCTCCCTGCCTCCATACTCCAATTCCGCTCAGCAACTTCGCCGGCGACGAGGGCGAACAGAACACAAAGCCGCAGCTTCACCGTTGACAAGTCACAGCAGAGACTCTATGCAGTGCAATTGCGCACATCCCCTCCAAGCGTGCCAGCTACTTGCGCACATCCACTCCAAGCGTGCCAGCCACTTGCATAGCTATAGACACCACACATAGCTGCATGTATCACCACCTCATCCTGTGCTCTCTTTCAAACCACTGCAACAAAACAAACCTGCTATTCCAACCTCCAGCATTGGACAGGAAGTTCCACTGTGCCTATAGCCGCTGTGCCTATAGCCGCTGTGCCTATAGCCACTGTGCCTATGGCCGCTGTGTCATAACATAGCTGCCACCGGGTAGTAACTAAGCAATGCCGCTTGATGCCGCCTCCTCTACAAGGGTGTCTTCACTACTGCCACTCTGCCAGTCAAACCATGGGAGCCGCAGGAAGAAGAGGCAGACCACAAGGGGAGGCATGCAGATTGCCTCATGTAGTTTCATGCAGCACGACGGTAGATGCTGTGTCTCCCCATCAGTGTCTCCTGTCACCCTGACGATTTCCTCAGTCACTCTGCACTCGTGTTGCATTACAAATACTCCCTCCGGCCAGAGAGTACACAGTGGCTCTCAGCGACACTGGGCAAAAGGCCATTGGGTCATCTCTCCGCAAACAACCCTGCTATTGCCGTTGGCATGGAAAGCTGGTTAGCATTACGTATGCATCCGGGGGTACATCCGGGGCTGCGTTCGGGGCTACATTCGGCGCTACATTAGGGGCTCGTCAAGAGTATGGACCTGAACTTAATATGCCTGAGTTGAAAAGAATCACCAGAACAATGCCCTCCCCCTCCAGATATGCAGAGATCATTGTCAAATCTAGTTGCTCCGTGTGTTTGCTGCAAATTTCGCTATAATGGTCATCATAATTGCCTAGAGTGAGTTTGTGTGAGTAAGAGAGAGCGAGGGAGGCGGGTGGAGGGGAAGGAGGGAGGGAAAGGAAGAGAAAAGGGAGGGGGGAAGAGTGGGGCATGGGAGAGAGGGGCAGGGGAGAGAGAGGGAGAGTAGGTGAGATAGGCTTTTGCACCCAGGGAAAACTTCAAGGAAAATGCCTTTCAGTGTAGGATACCGTTTGCTTGTCGTCTAGTCATGTGGGTACATTTCTCTGAGCGAAAGAGACAGGGCGAGGGGAAGAGGGGGGGGGAGGGGAGGGGGAGTAGAGCTAGAGAGACCTAGAGAGAGAGAGAGAGAGAGAGAGAGAGAGAGAGAGAGAGAGAGAGAGAGAGAGAGAGAGAGAGAGAGAGAGAGAGAGAGAGAGNAGAGAGAGAGAGAGAGAGAGAGAGAGAGAGAGAGAGAGAGAGAGAGAGAGAGAGAGAGAGAGAGAGAGAGAGAGAGAGGTCAGCAGGAGTAGTCTTTGCACCCAGGGCAATGAATCAAAATTCCTGTGTCTAGGATGACAAGCCTTTGTCGTGTAGTCACATCAGTACATTTGAGATGCCGCAACTGCAAGTAAAATATCTTTAACAGTCAACTACAATCTCGGAATTTACACATTTGAAACGAACAATCCATTCTGTTCCAGTCTGATGCGTGCTCAATGAAGTTGAATTGCCACTTAATAAATTTGGCAAGTTGGCTCTAATCGAATCCTATCTTCAAACGCCCTTGTTCTAATGTACCACTCCAACCTGACTCGCCTGTTGCCCTCTCTCTCTCTCTCTCTCTCTCTCTCTCTCTCTCTCTCTCTCTCTCTCTCTCTCTCTCACACACACACACACACACACACACACACACACACACACACACACACACACACACAGGTTGCTGTCGTGTGCGTATCACATGTCGCGGAACTGAATTTGGCTTCAAACGGCAATGATCAGTGTTTTCAAATTCCCACCGATCAATGTTATGGGTCAAGCAAAACACAAACTCCCGCCAATCAAATCGGTTTCAGGCATAGGCGTGACTGGGACGGGGCTTCCCCGCACACACCAAACCCCCTGCTTGTTGTGTCTCTCCGAACTCCCAGCCATCCCTACACAGGCAAACTCTGATACCTTATCGGTAGGCGTCATCAGCAACTTACCAGTCATAGCCCCAGTGCGCCGTAAGAACCTCCCTCGTTTGCATCTACCGTATCCTCTCTTCTCACCCCTGACAGCCAAACCCCAACGACTCCCCCAACCACTCCCCCAATCTACTGGCATCAATGGCCCCCCTTTAATTACCTGATTCTATGTCAATCCGTGCACCGCACTTTCGGTCGAACTTTCCAAATAGTGTCTGTGAGATTGCACATATAAAAGAGGTGAGGGTTCCAACTTCTCCTCCCACACAATCCTCTTGCAACGGCGAACTCTCCCACACATCTCTTCTGGCTGCACTTGTGGCCAATCCAATCGAAGGCAACGTGAATGGCTGGGACTGAAGCTCTCCTTGTTGAAAACACTCACCGCTCGCATAGTGTCTTCTCTTCTCACTCCGTTTCCTTCACCGCCATCACTGAGGATCTCAGGCACTTGAAGCAAATCAAAAGCAATGGGAATGGCTGGACTGAAACTCTCTCTCCTTGTTGAAAACACTCACTCTGATCGCACGGCGTCTTCTCTTCTCACTCCGTTTACCTCACCGCCATCACTGAGGACAATAGGCACTGCTCCTCGTTTAAAGCTAATAATGTTGTGTTCCTCCGATTAGAATGCAGGTAGGTCATCATATCTGTGCAATCCGATACGACAACCTCATGTCCTATACGCCATATACGGAGCGAAAAACTGCGACACTCCTTGACGTCATCCATGACCATAACAGCACACAACATAAAACACTGCGGCTCCCTGAACCAACCACTTCTCCATGTGAGCCATGTATGTAAGGAAGCTTGCGTTACGACGAAAGTTTCATCTCCGCTCGAAACTTGCAGGCACGCCAGAAGCGCAGTTTGTCAAATCAATCTTACCACACTTCTATCCAGACAATCAAAGCATCAATTCATCAAACGATCACCTTTTCCTTTCCAAGCGAGCCGAAGCTAACCATAAACCTGCTGCGACTTGCCAACCATCATAACCAATAACGAGACTTTTTCACGGATTCCGAGGGGGAGAAAAACAGCTTCAGATTCGGCAATTCTCCCACCATGCTTTCAAGAAAGAGCATCCATCTGCCATCAATGAGCAATCACGGGAACCTCCACATTCATCTCAGCACCATCCACCACTTGTCGATTGATAATTCGCAATCAGCATCATAAGCTGTCAATCACCCCATCCACTTCAAGGCAGGCATGCCACTTTGCAGCCTAGTCCACAACTTAACAGGCCAAGTTGGAATGAACAGTCGAATTGTACACGTTCAACGAGCAGGTCACGTCTCTTTACTCGTTGATATGCAAAAAATGATTCACCGCCTGGCAGCTTTAGGTTTTTGAGACAAATCGGGGAACCCTAAATCCAACTTCTTTTATTTCCAAGATCCGCAGAGAAACTCTATGATTCTCCGCGGTCTCGGCAATTACGATCACATAGCAGACTCGAAGCGCCAATGCGAGCATTGCACAAAGTCAAAGGTAATATTAGACCGAGAGAGAGAGAGAGAGAGAGAGAGAGAGAGAGAGAGAGAGAGAGAGAGAGAGAGAGAGAGAGAGAGAGNAGAGAGAGAGAGAGAGAGAGAGAGAGAGAGAGAGAGAGAGAGAGAGAGAGAGAGAGAGAGAGATTGCCTTTGCTACGAAGACTGGACATTTTGCGAGCATCGGCACAATCAAAACTGGCTATTTGCCACAAAACACCCATCACAGATGGGCTTCAATCTATATTCTACTCCCATCTTCATAGACGAAACTGTACGTAGTTCCCATCTAGATGAACGTATGGGACGAGCACTTCGCCACTTTCCATCTGTGAAGATGTATAGAAAAAGAGGCATCCTCCTCCCAATAATCTGCTGCGACCACCAACCACGCTGACAAAAGGCCATTGCGAGTCATATCCAGCGTCTGGCTCGCTGCAAAACTGAGCCTATTACTGCCAGACACGCTGACACGTGGCCATGTCAGATTTGCATCCAGCACCTGACCCTAGCAAAACATACAAAGCCTGTTGCAGCCAGACACGCTGACATGCGGCCAAGACAGATGCACATCCGGCACCCGACCCTAGCAAAACATACAAGGCCTGTTCCCAACCAGACACGCCGACATGTGGCCATGACAGATGCGCATTCCACACCTGACCCCAGCAACATAGACTACTTGCCGTGATCCCTGCTCCGCCTACAAGTGGCACCTGACCTACACAACTGGCACTTGCTCAATCGAAGAGAATGGAGCGCATGGAAACCACAAGTTGACCGTGGGAACGTTGATCAGCGACTGGTTGGTCCAATTGGCAACAGAAGGACAGGCCGCTTTCATCAACGATGCGCGAGCTCATCACTCGAGCAATGGAGGAGTTCGTCATTTGAAACAACGAACAACTCAATCAACCGGGAAACTTGAAGTCAACCAGATACCAGGAGGACTCGAGGTCCTCAACAGGAAGGCGGCTTTTGTCCGGCAACTGCCGGGCAAACAACCACACGTGCCCTCTCCGATCTACTGTGTGGGACACCAGCCTCCCTGTTTCGACATTGAAGAGCCTGCATCTATCCTGAGTCCTCAGCCTAACAGCAAAAACCAGCCAGTTATTGCCATATCCATCTATCACAGGTGCCATATCTTTGAGCTCAAGTGCGTCAGCACCATCTGGAATGAACCAGATCTTGACTAGTCTGATGTCATTTACACTGTCCACAATATGCTCCATCCTCAAACCCTTCTTCTTATAGTAGTCTACCGTTTCCTCGAATGCTCTCAACACGCGTGGAGCAACCATCTGCTTCATGGTCTTAAAATCTAGTTTTGCAAAAAGATCATTAACCATAAGGTACGCATGTCGGACACCCTCTAAGAAGTTCATCAAATCAAAGTTCCGCTCCACAGCTGCGCGATGGAAACCCAGTGCAACCCAAACCCTAACAGACTCGTAAACTTCCTGGAGCCCAGACCACAAATTCTCAGCCGGCTCCAAAACAACAGGAGTGGACTCCGTCCCCCCTGCCTCTCCGTCGACCTCCGCTGTTGCAACAGTGCTATTTTCACCCGAGACAGGGTGGTCGTCGCCGCCAGCGGCAGCAGTTGCAGATGACGACTGAGAGAATGCACCACCAGTCGCAGCATCTCCCCGCGTGTCCCCCACTGGCGAAGACGGCATCCTCTCTACCCCCTCCGCCGCCGTTCCAACCGCTCCCTCTCCTCCCCTTTCACCCCCTTCCTCTTCCTTCCCTTTCCTACTCCCATCCCCTTGCTCGTCATCCTTGCCCCCTGCTCTAACCAACATGTTCCTGGCCATAGTCAACCTCCACGCTGCTGCTGTTGTCCCCATCTTGCAGGCTTTCGCCAGCAACGGCAATCCCTCGCCCCCTCCATCAACTACCAAACTCCGGCTCCAGCTATCGCTCAGCACCACCTTGGTACCCATCACCCGCCCTTCCCCAACTCCTCGTTGTGCATCTTTCTCTGTCCTTCCCGGCAAGGATTGTGCCAATCCCTTCCAGGAGGCAGCCCGCACTTGCTCTTTGTCCCCTGCACTTCCATACTCTTGTCCAGCCTCGCCATTGCAGAGCTCAGGCCCAACGGAGGCAGTTCCAGCGGCACGAGCTACATCCCGTGGCACCCCCTTGCTACTAGAAGTGCTCACATGGTTGCTGATCCCATGGCCTGAGGAGAGCACATGTGTCAAGGGAGGAACGAGCACAGGCCTCGAGAAGCAACGACAATGACCCGCAACAAACCTCCTTGACGAGGTGGAGGCAAGCCCTGCTGAGTCGAGCACTACCTGGTAAGGCGAAATCCTCGCTGACCTCGATAGGTAGACTGCCACCAAACCCGCCCATCTACCTGATCGTGCCGCAGAGTGTCTTATCCACGTCATCACTTAACCCCCTTCGCGCAACACCCAGCCCCAACCACCTCCCCCCCCTTTCTCTAGCCTTCTTAGCCAACTTGCACGCCACAACACACACATGTGCAAGCACACTTCTCACACCCGGTCAAGCAAGTGTGCAAGTTTGACTGTGCACAAACACGCGTAGACGCATAAGACCCGCCAAGCCGCACAGGTACAACTAGGCGACGCTGCGCAGTTGTCACCTGCAATCAGACCTCGTAGAGAAACTCACAATCTGAAGTACACAACACAAACTCCTATACTCCTGCCACATGACTGATAATGGCTACACAAGCAAGAAGCTGACCAATGCGGGGCCATCGAAAGTCGTGGTAAGGCAACATCGCTGTTTGCCGCAAGGCAAACAAGAAGCTGGGTGAGGCAAGGGTAGCATTCCAGAAGAGGAAAAGAAAGGACAGGGAACGTTCGGACAGGAAATGAGATAGAGGAGATCCAAAATCAGTACTTGGGAAAAGAGAGAGGGCACACGAAGGTGCCAGAATAGAAGCTTCAACGTCAGCACAGGGCGCCTGTGCAGGGAGGAACAACTTCCACAGGGAGGACAGGATTCACGGAACTCACTGCCTTGCGATTCCGCCAGGGGCAAGCATGATCCACAAGGACATCCCCCCAATTGCTGACTGCATGAGGAGGACAGGGAGCTTGGTCACCCAGCTAGGGATGAGCAACCTCCCCACCTAGCGATTTCGACCACCAACTTCCCGCCCTGTCGCAACGAGAAAACCTGCACCAGAAGAGGAGCAAGGCAAACGATCAGTGAGGATGCAGCCACTCATATCTGCGGTGCTTTGTGTGTCCGAGTTCCAAGTGATTATGAAGACACAAATGTATGCCCTGTAACGCAGCAACGAGGGAACATTAACTAACTCTCTGAGTTTTAACTCCTGAAACCGCTGAGTGCATGAACACCCAGGTATACATACCCTATTGCTCCCAATGCACAAAAATCTGCGGCATTTTCAAGAGAGCACATGCATCGCTAGCAAAACACCACTGGAAGCGCACTCCATTACGTGAAACACAGGCACTTGATGTGGGTGAAGAGAGCGGAATGAGGTCGTGGACGAAGGAAAGGCCAAGACGACGATGTCACATTAGAAGCAAAGGCAAGCCACGGGGAATGTCGTACTCGCAGGGACCTGTTTGCAAGTTGGCATGAAAAGTTGATGTCAGGAAGGGCGTTCACAGTGCATTCACAACGGGCATGAGCGCAATATCCTCCCTGGACGCGAGGTTGAGGGGCCAGAAGGGCAGTGGGCCCCAGCAGACGAATAGGAGGTACTTTTGGGATTAAAGTGGAACAGTGCCGCAGCACATTCCAGTCCTCCAACTCCAGCCCCAAACTCCCGCCAGCGACTGTGGGACAGTGCCCGTACCAAGCGTATGGGAACACCGACAGCAGGTGGAAAGCGAGGATGGGCACTATCACCACGGAAGAAGGTAGATAAAAGAGGACGGGCTTAGCGAGCGCTGGAGAGGAGAAGAACAGCGGGTCCCAAGGAAGATAAAGCTGGGGTACTGTGTGTTCACTAAGGAATAGAGGTTGAACCAGGCAGCGGACAAAGGCACAGAGTAGCAGCTGCAGGGGCTGGCTGTTGCTGCGGATTGGCAGTTTGGTTGGTTACCCGATTGCTGTCTTTTCCTTTTCCTTTTCCCTCCCTCCTTTCTCTTCTTCCGCCTCCTCTTTTCCAAAAACGTTTTTCCCTTTCCCCTCTTTTAACAAACGTCCACTGCTGAATTGTTAGTGCATAGAGGTCAGCCACGTTCGACAACTCAGCCAGCAAACGTAAATTTGATATGCCCTGAGCTGAGGAAAAGCAAGCCTTAGACCAGTACGATGAGCGAGCAGCAACATGTCCATGAAGATGCAGTATACATGTATAGCCCATTGATAAAGTATATACTGTATAGCTCATTGAATGGAGATTTGAATCGTGGTCGTAATTGTGGGAGGCAGATCCTTTTCGCCAACTACACTAAGATAGCCTGTCGATTCGGCAAGCGCAAGCCCAGCCTTTCAGACATACGGCGTTCTCACACCAGAACTCTCCTGCATGTAAACGGTACGGCTTGCCTACCCGCAGTTTCATTTCAACGGATTGGTCCTGTCATTCAACAACCTGGTCTAGACTTCGAACCAGGTGGCAGTATAGGGTTTAGGGTTTAGGGTTACATACTCGATCATGTGGCCAACAACTTTACACTGATCATCGTCACGCCACCGAAGACATAGACAACCAAGCAGGGACACACAAACCACAAGAAAAGGAGTACAAAGAGTGCACTCATACCCCACACCAACAATACAGAAGAGCGTTTTATAGCACAATAAGCATCCTCTCTCTCTCTCTCTCTCTCTCTCTCTCTCTCTCTCTCTCTCTCTCTC